GCACTCTAATAAAGACGTTAACGCGGGTTATAACTCATACGCACGCGCAATATTTCCAGTCTGATTATGATCCTCATTATAGAGAGCATGCGTGAAGTCGGTAACGCGTTAATTTCCTATCGGCCGATAATAACACGCGCTATAAATTTCCCCTTCGGGTGGAAACGCATGCAACGCCGATTTCATCGATAATCGATTTATTAATCCAAGCGAGACGGTCGTTGTGCGAATATTTTCCTACGGTGTCCAATTGTCCTCCGCGTTTTCACCGTCGTTACCTTCACCTTCGGGACCACGTGGTCCACTTCTCGGAGACTTCAACGCTTCTTTTCAGGGTAAGGAAAAAAACAAGATGGCGGAGGAAAAAACGGCAAAGGGTTTTGCAGGTTGTTTTTTTTTTTCACGCGAGAGGAAGGAAGCTTAATCTGACAAAAATGGATTTTGAGGGCGCTTTTTGCGGAGAGTCTCTGTCACCTGACAAGGAAGGACTTTTCGAGGCTCTCCTGAAAATGAAAAGGAATGATTCGAGAATCTTTCTTTTCTAACCGCGACTGGCGAGGCATTGAAAATGAAAACCCCGAGGAAGAGAGACCGCGCGTACCCACGCGGCGCTGTCGCAATGTTTGCGTCGCCATTGTGGTCGCGGTAATTAATTCGCTTTTCAGACTTTTCTAGGCCACGACGAACGTCATTGACTTCTCAGTCACTCCGCAGATTTCCTCCGAGAGTATTCGCGAAGGCCGTCTCCGACACCTACTCTCGATTCGCGAGGAGTCGCCTATTGTTGCGAGTACTGCGTCATCACGCGGATCATTACTGCGAGGAATGCCATTCGTTGCCGGATGGAGTTCCGAGTGTTAAATGATGCACTCCTGGAAAAAGTAATTCCTCTGAAATTCGATAAAAGCAATATTTATCCCGAGGGGATATATACTCAGAAAATCCATAATTTTAACTCTCGAAATGAAACACTGTCGGAATTTTAGGGTATTTCAGGTGGCGGGTCATTTTCTTAAAAAAGAAAAAATGAAAAAAAAAAATTAAAGCCACTAAAAATCAACGGAATCGCTTACACTGTTTAAGGGTTCGGGCGTGGCTAGAAACCGCGGTTTACGTAAATGGAAGGAAATCGTGAGTCGACGGAAAGAACGGGGAAGCGAAAAGGGGTATATCTGGGAAGGTTGGACGTAGATCTCGCGGACGTTCCCGGCCGTTTCGTGCCGCGAGGCGTAAACCGTAAACGCGGCTCGGACATTATAAATTAACCGGCGATATCTCGGCGCGAGCTTATATATCGGGCCGGTAATCAGTTGGCGGAGAACACCGATGCACTCGGTCTTGCACCGAGCCGCATGGTAGCGCACCAACACCGGGAAGGGCCGCGACCGGAGCTAATGTCGGGACTCGGCCGGTGCTCGCACCTATGTATACACACCTGCGATCGGTGCCGGGTACCGGGCTCATAGAGAGTAGGTGGCCACCTAAAAGGTACAAACCAATGGAGACGCTCGCTCGACCGTGGAGACACGAGCCCGAGGCCTAGTCAATGCACTCGGGGGCCGATCGCGAAAACCCGAGTCCGAGTCGTCGTGACTCGGCTCGGCGATTTTTTTCCCTGGATTTTCCTCGATTTTTATCCCGGCGTCCAGGTCCGATAGAAAGCCGGGAAATGCACGGCAACTGGTACTTATTAGGCCGGCACTCCGAATTCCCGGTCGACTGGACCGTCGTTGCAAACGAGCGGTGTTACCGGGCCCAAAGACGTCGGTCCTAAAATATGGTACTTTCGTCCCATAACGCTAATGCCGGTCTTGCCATTCTTTCCCAGAGGCCCGGTTTCCTCCGGTGCTCGTTCCCCGTAACGTAACTGATACTTATGCAAAGCGTTTCGATAATTTCTCACTGCCGACTTAATGCATATCCCGACCCATCGATGTATCCATCCCGTTGATCTGGATCACCTTCTCAAGGCAGTACCTCGAGTGGGAACGCGCTGGCCCGTGACCGGATTCCTCCAACGTTTCGTTTTCGGTCCACCGGGATCTCCCGGATGAGGTGCAGTTCCGTTCGATCAGAAGTGAACATTTTCATCTCTTATCAAATTTTTAAAAATTCTTTCCAAACAGGATGTACCGAATTGGAACTTCGGCACGTGCTGGTGGAGGCCCTAAGGAAGAACGCGATACTCATGAAATTTTATATTTATATTCCAAAACCATTTTTCATTTACTCCAGTCTAGAACGTGTTCTTTCTTTCGAAATATGAAATTTCATAGGCATCGCGATTTTTCTTAGGACCTCCATGATCACGTGCTAAAGCTAAAAATGTAGCATTATAAGCGCGATTTAGGATAGAATGATCTATTAGCTTGACAGCGGATTGCCGGCGAGGTGCAAAACTTGCTTTCGATAAAAAATGAAAAATTCCATTTCCATGATCACCCTTCGTAAAATCTCGAATTAAATGCTACGAGTCGCCGATGAGATGGCGAAGTTATATTCGAGCCCGAATGAGAAATTCCGTCCCCCGAGGTGGACGCGCCTCGTGGGATCGGAAATAAAATCAAAACTAGAGCAGTCTACTACTAGCCCACTTGAGGAGGGGTCACTCGGCTGTTCTCAGCTGACCGTACGGTACTTAAAAGGCTCTTATATAAAACTCTAACGACCGTTCGCCGGTATCTTGGCGCGGAGGACGCGTTAAAATCGAAGTAACTCGCGGCTCGTCGGGTTCTCGATATTCGCGTTAATCCGTTTAAGCAGCGAGCCCATCCGAGAGTTGACAATAATCCGCTTATCCGGCTCGTCATTTTCCCGCGAAACGGGATTAAACAAGGGACGAGATATCCTTAACAGAGGACCGGTACACCGGTGCGTCGGGCGAACTCGTTCTCCATAATGGCGGCCGGCCGCCATTACCGCCGATACGGTAAGGACGGGGAAATCACGCGAAACCATGAATTCTACGAGTATATAGGATTCGTTGCGGCACACGGAATCCCGCGATTTCCCCTCTTTCCACTCTCACCTATTTTTGCCCTCCTTATTTATGGGTATCCTTGAATCAAACGCACCTACGCGTCCAGAAGGGACCGTGGGACCAGGCGTCGCCGGATTCAGGCCGAGGGATGTTAGGTTTCGCTACATTTTTAAATGGTGTTTCTATATTCCGTTTCGTTCCTTATTCGTTCTTTTGCGCGTGGAATGATCGAGATTTCGATTTGAAGAGTCGACCGGTGGAATTTACATTTTTAAATGGTGTTTCTATATTCCGTTTCCGTTCCTTATTTATCTTTTTGCGCGTGGGATTATCGAAATTTCGCTTTTCACGTTCGATTCGAATAGTCGACCGGTGGAATTTACGTAGATAGAGGTTAGGTCTTACTACATTTTTTAATGGTGTTTCTATATTCCGTTTCGTTCCTTATTCGTTCTTTTGCGCGTGGAATGATCGAGATTTCGATTTGAAGAGTCGACCGGTGGAATTTACGTAGATAGAGTTTAGGTCTTACTACATTTTTAAATGGTGTTTCTATATTCCGTTTCCGTTCCTTATTCATCTTTTTGCGCGTGGGATTATCGAGATTTCGCTTTTCACGTTCGATTCGATGAGTCGACCGGTGGAGTTTACGTCGATGGAGGTTAGGCCTTACTACATTCTTTAATGGTGTTTCTATATTCCGTTTCCGTTCCTTATTCATCTTTTTGCGCGTGGGATTATCGAGATTTCGGTTTCCACGTTCGATTCGATGAGTCGACCGGTGGAATTTACGTCTTACTACATTTTTTAATGGTGTTTCTCTATTTCGTTTCCGTTTCTTCCTCGTCCTTTTGCGCATGGGATTATCGAGATTTCGTTTTCCATGTTCGGTTCGGAGAGTCGACCGGTGGACAGCTCAGCTCCCTGACCGTCAGCGGCGTTCCAGACGGCGAGACGTCCCGGGGGCGTCCCTTGGGAATCCGCCCGCATACCCCTGCGGACGCAGGTCGTCTCTCTCGCTCCTCCTGCCCGTTTCCGTTCCCTTTCTCTCTCTCTCTCCCTCCGGCGCGCGAACAGCTGCCGCCCGGTCGCGCCTTCTCTCTCCCTCACGCGCGACCTACGCGCTTTTCCGTTTCTCGTCTCGCTCCGGCGTTACGTGCCGTACTTGGAGTCCCTTTTCGGCCGGATGAGAAATTGCCCTTCCCCGACCCGGCCACATCCTTCCTCCCGATTTCGACCTCGAGGCAACAAAGAAACCCAACGGCGATTATCTAGAATTTAAGGCGACTTTGGAAGCCTCGTTTTGGAGCCGCAAGGTGTCTACCCGCGTGACGATACATCCTTAGAAAAAAAATCCGTGCAAACACATCGGTACAAATTTATCCGACACTCGAGCACGACGTGGACGCTACACAATTGAATCTATCTCACAAATCTCCAGGATTTATCCTGACAAAATATCTCCAGAATATGGTTATTGGCTGAAAAATATTCAACGCGATCAAATTCCATGGGGTAATAACTCCTGGTTGATCATGCCAATTGCAGTACTTGGGGTAACAAGAGCAACGAAGAAAAATATATTCTGAAATGACTAAAATCTTTGGTCGGTCGAATCGAGCGATTTAAGCCGAGTGATGCTGAAAATTAGTTTCGCTCGATCGAAGCGTTCCCTGGAAATAAACAATTAATTATCCCACCGAGCAAAACCATCAGGTTTTCATTTCACGGGCACAGGTATTTATTGTATGTATATTCGGGAATAGGAGCCGTCAACTCCGGAGGAATATCTCTAGGGAACGTGCCCTAGCCCGGGGCCCCACAAAGGGTCGCCGAAACGGACTCCGACCGCGAAGGTCCCTGCCGGCAGCATCCCGCCCATGGAGCCGACGGGGAAGGGATGGATGACCCGATCCCACCACGGGCGCGCCCCTCCAGCTCCAGCGCCGACAGGACCACTGGTAAAGCCAGTTTCGCGCAGCTCCGCCGAGCCGGGCGCTGCTTCCCCTCAGTGCGAAGCCGACGACCGTGCCCGACGTTGCACCTGTCACCTGAGCGCGCGAGGCCCCGTCTCGTCCCCCGGTAGACAGAGTCCTCACGGAAGTGAAAATTCCCCCGGGACTAGAGGAGGCACGTGACTTTCGGGGGAAAAAGCAAAACCGAGAGAGAGAAAGGCGAGAAAAAGCGAGCCGGCACCCCGGTGACCTTGAACCGGTTTGGATTAAGGGCGCAGGTGGTCCGCGCATGCCGGGTCGGGCCCGGGATTAAGGGAAAATGTGAGAGGGGAAAATAAGGGGTACGCGAATCGACGGACTTTGAACTTCATTATTATTATCCTTTCGGCGATCCTTCGAACATCTTGTCGGTTCTTTTAAGCCGAGACTGGGCGCAGGATCTTGGGTGCTTCTCCTGGGCTTTCGGGATTGTGCTTGTATTTTCTTTATTCATTTATTATTGGTTTTTGCATCGGACGTCTCGGTCGGGACTAGAGGCGTCCGAGTGGTGAGTGTTGTGAGGGGAGAACTGGGTGGTCCAGGCTGCGAGGATCTTTTCTGGTCCCTGAGGATCCCGAGGGTCCTGTGGATCCTCCCTGGACCCGTGGACCAGGGTGTGTCGCGACTCCGATCTCCCTCTCTTCTCGTGGATGAAGATCCCGAGGAATCTCCTTACCTGGAGGACTTTCCGACGTCGCATCCTGCACCTCGGTAAGTACTTTTGGGTTTTACTTATTTCTTCGTATTTTTCTCTTTTTTTATTCAGCCAGGACGGGCATTAAATTTCCAGTCGTTAATCCGAGGACGTTTCGTTGCGTCTCCGCGTGTCACGTGACACGGCGGTGTCCGTACTCTTTTCTCGGCAGATCGGTCACGCATGGCGAATCGCCTTATTTTTCATTTTTTTATTTTTTTTTATTAATTTCCAACTGGAATCAGGACGCGAGGTTGGAATGGATCCCTCGCCTCGTTTTAACGATCGCGATAAACCACGCGAAAAGGAGATCGGAAGTCACTTTTTCGATGGATTATCGGATAATTGATTTCGTGCCGATTTGCCGGAATTTAGGTGTAAGCCGCACACTTTTCGCCATCGATTCATGAGATCGGTTTAATTCTGCCCTCGTGGCGCAGTTCTTAGTACAACGCCGAACTTGAAACTGCGCGGTTGCGTACCGGATCTTGGGATGAATTATGCGAACGAAGGTCGGTTTTCAATTAGCGATCGAAGGAGCCAATTGCGTAATTGGACGGGCCGAGTCTCGGTACACGCCTCGTCGATCGCTCGCAACGGATCGGAATCACGGGAAGGCTCACTTGTGGGAATCATAGGAAGATTCGAGTTTTCCACCCCCAAGGAATTCCAGGTCTTCCTATCGATTGCAGGGATGTCGGGGGTCCCGAGGGAACCGCCTGAGAATCCTAACCTTAACCTTGGCCGCGCCTGAGAATCCCTCGGGATTCTCAGAAAAACCCCGCCCCCGGTTTTGGAGGGTGACTCTTTTCTTTTTTTCATGTGGAATTATCTCTTTCTTTTTTTTCTTTGAATATAGGAGTACCATAACAGAATTCGAGTGTATCGAAAATTGGACATGAGGGCTCACAGGCGAGGATGAAAATTGAATACGTGAATATCCACTGTTAAAAAAAATATTATTTTATAACATACTTTCGAATGAAATGTATAGCGTATGTTATAAATTTGTTCTGTTCGGTACTTGATATTAAACGTTTTTTTGGCAAATAAATAGATTTGACATATGTTCGGGGCACGTTCGAGGACGATTTTAGAGACAGTCCTAACTTAAAAAAAATTTGGTATGTGTATGAATTTTATGCATTTTTTTAACAGCGTACGAACGTCAGGTTCTATTCGGAGGACCAAATCCTCGAATGTTTTCTACCTTGCATCTTATCGTCCGATTATCTCGCTATTCCTGGACCGCAGTGGGAGGCTTCGGATTATTCCTACTTACCGATTCAATGTCCCGCCATTTGCGTTTCCTGATTGCTCGGCAAGTGTGCCAAGAACATTGTCGATAAGCGCGAGGCACCCGAGGTGTACACGCTTATCTGCGTAATGGAACCGCGTAGGCAAGTCCCGGTGGCTTCGTCCCGGTTTTTATCACTTCAATTTCACAATTCCTCGGGCGCACTTGCTCGGCTAACCCTATTTGGCCGAGGTAAACATTACCCGATTACGTACCCACTCGGTCCAAGGACTGCGGCGAAAAGAGTCCGAAAAGATCGAGCAATTCAAGGGCGCCCGTTCGGTTTCCAGTCCGGCAGGACTCGTGACAATGTCAATTTGCCTCCGGGTTTATGGCGGAAGAGGCCAAGTGATTAAACACGTGTAGAAATAATCCAAGCCCGGATTGATGATCAGTTGCGACACTGGTTACTCTTCTGTCAGCTCCTGCCTTTCTAATGTAATAATTTAAGTCCGCCATTACGGTGGTCAATCTTCTTTTACCGAGTATACGCGTCTCCTCTTCGGGACCGTTTCTACCGGTGACTCGGCTGAAAGATCCTGTCGAAACTTCGAAAGGATCACGCGATTGCGCATCCTCGGCCGCTCGTGATATATTTCATCCCGATATGATATTTCCGAAAGGCGGACGCGCGTAATGGCCGCCAAGTCGAGCGAACTCGGTGGATGCGTTTCGAGGTTTAAAATTTAATAATTGCGGCTCTCCGTCGCGGCACTCAATCTTCTTTTACCGAGGCCATGCCTCTCGCCGGTGCGTCGGGTTGTCCGATGGGAAAGAAGTTGACGAAAAAGTAGGTAACGCAAAATGAAGCACCGCCGAGCGGTTGCACCACCGCCGAGCTGCACAGTCAGCTGTAATCCATTCTCCTGGTTTACTGCTTAGTCCGCAGTTATACTTCCCGTGGGGTCTTATTTAACTGTAACAACTAATAAATCATTACGCACGCCGTTTATTATCGGGGTTGCACCATGGCGTTATCGCCTGTAGATCATGCAAGGTGTGCAGTTGCCAAGCACGTCGTTCGACGCTCGACAAATCGTTCCCCGATATTTTTCTGGCTCCTTCTCAAGCCATGAATTTTTCTACCTCCGTATCTCCATATAGATAAAGCCACGTTAATTCCATGCATTCATTTCGGAACACCCACGGCGCAGGCGCGTCAGGTAGAGGAGACAAAATTTCACGGCGCAAGTGGAGGCACTATTCCCTCCTCTCCCGAAAACCCATTCCCAAGAGGTTCTGCTTTGGTACGAAGCTTTTGCCAACTCCGTGATTTCCATCCGAGAACGACAAACAGACCCTCTGGGACTCTTAAATATGCTGATTTTGGCAACTTCGTCCGTGACTTCCATACAGGAGAAGTCAAGATGGCCCTAGCGTAGCGCGTAGAATCATTCTATGTGGCAACTTCGGCACTCCGCGTGTCGCGAGTGCGTATCTTGATTTTACTTAACTCTGTGTTCTAGTTCTGAATTTAAAGAAATCCCTACATATGCTTGGAATACTTGTTCGAGCGGGATAAATGATTCCAGTTGATCTTCTGAGCCTCAGGAAAAATTATCCTGGGCAGGGTGTCCATCGAAGTTGCTGATTTGCTGAATTTGATAAGGCTAGGTGGAGAAGCTTGGTATCGGTAAAAGTTCTTTCAAAAATATTCCTGAATGGATTTACGATTATTGCCTGATCTTCCTTGTATAATGAAAACTTATTACTACATCTGTCCCGACACTGCAGCTTCTATGAGAAAACCCGACTGGGGTGTTTCCCGTGGTTTTCTTTTTTTTTCTCACGGCTGGAATCGTATTCCAGGCTTATCGAGCGGTATGCAAATTCAAGGGGCAGCCGCGTGCGTAATTCGGGCTGCGGGAGGAATTAGCGGAAAGTAAGTAGGCACCCGTCGGGTACTGGTCGGGCGCAAAAAGGAGCAACGGAGGCGAGTCAAGTCGGCCGTGAAAACGTAGGATTTACTCGAGCAGAGCCATAGTTTTCATTGGACGATGCCGCCTCCGAGATGCCTTTGTTCCTTCCTTCGCGGTTACTTTCGCGATTATTCGTGCGAGACACATTCTCCGGTGGTAAGCCACTCGCGTTTTAAATCCCCCTCGATCCGGGGGCTACCTCGAAGTGTGCCATCAAGGTCGTCTTCGGGATCGATTCGATCGTTTTCGACGAGCGAGAATCCTGAATCGAAACCCGAAACTACTAGAAACGATAACAGAAAACTGAAAATCATCGGCACTTTGAGGGTCGATTTTGTATCCCTGGTGAGTGTGCTCATTTCTCGGAGTTTCACCTAAAGGGAGTTTATTCACCGGATTTAGTGTCCTCCGGATGAAAATAGGAAATTATCTATGTACGTCTGTGTCGATTAATCTCACGTGAAGTATCTCACATTTTCACTCCGGTGGATGGTATAAAATCGTGGGAGTCGCTCCCTTCTGGTATTTTCACCAGACTCGTGTTTCAAAATCGCCATCTTGCCGCGCTTGAAATTCGAGAACGAAGGGGATTCTGGAAAGAATTTGGGAAAGCCGACTCGAGGCGGCAGGACCGACAAAAAGTTGCGAGAAGGGTCGGGCAAGGAGTCGTCCTTTCTTCCGAATTCCGGGGGCTGCAGGGACGAGTCTTTGGACCAAGGGGAAGAGTGTCTCCGCCGATGGCCACGATCCCGCGTAACCGGTAGGGAACTCTATTGACCGGTTATGGGCAAGGTAGTCTCGGACAGTCGAAGAAACCAGCCGAAGGAACGACCGGAAACGGGAACGCGCGACGCTTAATGTCGCCGGTTTTCTAAGCGGGAATAATCGCTTCGAAGCGATACCTCCTCGAAATACCCTCTAACGACGGAATATACCACGGCCATTAGTGGAATTATGCAAAGGACATTCGTTCCGTGCAATTCGTTAGGTCCGATATTACTCTCCGGGTGTTTTGCAAAGTACGGCTTAGAGGTTAGGTTTCCCCTTTCGTCCGGGATCCTGGAACCGTTCAAGAGACGTGTGACATTGCGGTAATTTATTTAAAAGGAAGAGCGAGATGCGGAAATTTTGCGCAGTAGCGCGGTCTGCTAGTTTTTGTCTCTCGCGCGGTTATTTCTTCTCGATTGGGGAGACGTTTCATTTAGGAATTAACATCTCAAAGGATCCTCCTCGGGAATAAATCTCTGCCGGGCAATCGTTCACCCATCACGTTCCAGGGCCGCGATTAAACGCGGACCCTGCGATCCCGGAGCCGACGTGCAATTATTCCCATTTATACAATAGTGCCCACCGTCCTGGCGTGCATTAAACGTCCCCGTTTCAAAATCCGGTTTCCACAGGGCAAACGGCGGAAAGTAAAAGTGTCGGGAGAGTCGCGACTCCCCTTTGGGTCCGCCTCTCGGGGGCAATTTGGAAAGATAATGGGAATTGTCCCCAACCTCCGGGACGATAACCCGACGAGATATCTCGGTGGAAAGGAGTTGGAAAAAAAATTAACCTCGGACCCTTCGCTCTTGGAGCGTCAGAGATAGACGTAGATACCCGCTATTATCAGCGGGTCACTTCCGGAGGGATAGATGGGAGTGATATGTGAGGTCGACTCGGCAACTGGGAACGAGTCTTTCCCGTTTGTAGAATATTCACGATTTCAACCTCCATGCCTTCCTCAATTTTTAATATGAAGCTATTAATAATTAACCGTCGACCTAATATTTACGTAATTAATCGTATATTTACGTAA